TCACAAATGCTGGTTAGAAGGCTGGGGGGAATTCTGTGTGTGATCACCTATTACGGCTGGCCCAGTAGCAGTACATACAAAGCCACAATTGTTCTCCTAGCACTGGTGTTTTGATTTCAGACTTAATCTATGAATGGAGTACACACATATATATACACCAAAGAACAAACAATATCTTTAGCTCATAATTTTTGAAACCCGTAATTGTCTCGATATGTACGTTTGTTAATCCACCGCTGGACGAGGGCCTTACGACATCATGCAGGTAGTAGATAGGCCTCAGCAAGGTAAGGTAAAAGGTAAAAACAACGAACCTACCTTTACCTTACCACAATACAATCACTCTACCCTTAACGTTTACCCTTTAGCAAGGTAAGGTAAAAGGTCAAAAGCAACGAGCCTACCTTTACCCTACCTTTTACCCTTACCCCATACAAATTACCCGATTACACGGTAATTACTGGGGTACTACATATGAAAAAGGTTTATAACAGGTAAATGCTAGGTAGAGCGCTTTATTCATCTATATATATAAAAGGGAAATTTGTGAATGTGTGTCTGCTCGAAATGTTTAGCATACTTCCCAACATGCAACAAACCTGAAATTTGGCATGTGGACAGCTTCCAGACTGTACACAATGCAAAAAGTATAAAAATAGACTTTTGTTTTGGGGGGTGGGGGGGCGCAATAATGGATATATTTTGCACGGCAAGTGAGCGGTGATGTCACATCTGTGATGTCACCCGCATGCGGCAGCGTCACGCAGTGTGCCTGCTGACGTCACGCCCCCCCCCCACCCTCCGCGTAGGCCGTGTATTAAGACAAGAATCCAAGTCTCGGGTGAAGCCGGGTAGTAAACCTAGTTTAGAATACTCTCGACGATTCCAATTTTAAATGGAGACCACAGACTGCGCCGCGGAGCTTTTAGTGAGCGGTAAACAAGGTATTTAGCGGGTAATACTTCGCGCTACCTTTACCCTACCGGATTCGTCCTCGCTAACTTTACCGTACCCTTTACATTACCCCTTGGCATGTCGACACCTTTACTCTTTAACCTGGTAAAAATGGTAAATTACCTTACCTTGCCAAGGCCTAGTAGTAGATTACTTGACCATATTTCACCACGCTGGCCAGTGCAGTTTGGTGATGGTAGGGGGGAGTGCAGAACCATGAATCTAGCTGCACTACCCTTTACTGGAGACAACACCTATTACGTATTTTTTGTGGTCGCCCACCCTGGCACTATCCAGGCTCAACACTGCTTAGCTTCCGAGCAAGTCTGGATTATGGACCGGGCCAGTGGGGACAGTGCCCCGGCGCCTCGGACTGCCAGGGGGCCTCCAAGCCTAAGGCCACGCGCGGTGCGTGGCCCAAGACTTCCGAAAGAAGTTGAACGCCAGAGCCCTCAGTGCGCACAGCACAAGCTGACCACTAGACCCCTGGGTGCTTATAGCGTGAGCTCACCACTGGGCCCCCCAGACCCCTCAGTGCTTACAATGTGAGGCCCCCCAGACCCCTTGGTGTTTCAAACGTAAGCTGACCACTAGGGCCCCTAGGCCCCACAGCGCCTATACGGTGTGAGGGCCCCCAGGCCCTTTAGCGTTTAAAGAGTGAGCTGCCTACTAGGGCACCTAGGCCCCTGGGGCTTAAAGTGTGAGCTGACCACTGGGGCCCCTGGGCCCCACAGCGCTTACAATGTGAGGCCCCTTGGTGCTGAAAGCATGAGCTGACCACTACGGCCCCCGGGTGCTTACAGTGTGAGTTGACCACTAGGGCCCCCACGCCCCTTGGTGCATACATCGAGCGTAACACCTGGGCTCCTTGGCACATACAGTACAGTGCTTCTGTACAATATGCTGTGATATACTCCTATATAAGCGCACAACTTTATCTATGTGATGAACGCTGCACTTTCCGTCGTTTTCATGCAGGGGGTGCTGCAACTTACGTGCCCCCTGCATGAACGACGGAGGCGCAGGGACAGACGTTCGATTACGTTGGAATCGATCTGCAGACGGCGGTCTTCTCGTACGGCCAGCAGCTCTACGTCGCCTTATCTCGATCCCGCAATCCCAAACATGTGAAAGTCCGCATCGAACCGAACCCCCAGCAAGGCCATATACTTAACGACGAGAGAAAATTCACACGAAATGTCCTTTTCAATTAAGTCTTCCAGATGTAAAATGATATAAGCTTTTCATGAAGAAATAAAATTATCTTAATTCAAAACATAATACAATTCAAAGATGTTTCATTTTAAAACTTCAAAACGGAGCATTGGGTGCTTGTGTAAATGCATCGTTTGTGTGCAATTTTTTTGTGACTTTCCTGGATGAAGGCCATAAATGGCTGTGAGGGGCACCAAAGCATCAAGGGCAGTTTGAAGGGCGTCATATTATGGCAAGCCGTTAGTTATTTGACTTACCATAACTAGCTATCCCTTTATTTTAGCTAGCTACCCATTTTCCCTAGCTAGCTGCCCATATGATTTAGCTTGTTAACAAAAATTAGTTAGCTCGCTGCCATTTTTGCCAGCTAGCTGCTGCCCTTACAACCAAATTAGCTGCACTAAAAAGCCAGCTCGTGAGACCGAGGGCTCGTCGTTTGTTGAGAGCTTAGTTAGCCGTTGATAAATCAATTGTTAAAAATACACCGCGGTTTTGTGAAACATAAAACAAAATATGACAAAAGCCATATTTTTTCATACACTAACGCATATATAAGAGACCAAATCCATATTTAAAGATTAAGAAAAAACCCCATTCATTTTTTCCATAGAACGTCTGTTTTTAGATCCATGGAAGTAGATAATGCTAACGTTGACATGTAGTCATATGACAATGCAAGCAACATGTCAGAAAATACAATGGGCTACAGGCCCACCTAAAACAAAAAAAACATCTGATAGAGTATGTGCCTTACACAGCGCATTCACTTAACTTAGTTGGTGTTAACACCTTCGACGGCAGTATCCCAGAGGCTGACGAGTTTTTTAACATAATGCAGTCACTGTATACATTTTGCTCTTCATCCACACAGAGATGGGGGAAAGTCTTTCGGAAGACAGATGTCAGACTGATATTAAAATCGCTGTCCAGTATCCGGTGAAGTGCTCAGGCAAAGTCAACCAAGGCACTGTGGAGAAATTACACCCACATTAGAGAGGCCTTCGGTGGTATGTGCAATGATGATGAGAAAAGAGATACTCGAATTGAGGCCGCTGGACTTTGTGCTAAATTGGACACCTTAGATTTGGTGTTCATGGCACATTTCTGGGACGTCATACTTGACCAGTTCCACGCTACAAGCATGCACCTACAGAAAAGTGACATTGACATCTCTGTAGCAGCACAGCTTTTGTCTTCGTTGAGGGATTTTGTGGCGGGACAGCGAGACCAGTTTGAGGCTTTTGAAAGGGCAGCCTTAAATGTAACAGGTGTCTCAGTCATATTAGCACGATATTCAGCGAAAGAGGAAACGCAAAACATTTGCAGATGAGAGCTCAGAGCCAGGTGTGACACTTGAGGGGAGAGAGAAGTTCAAAATAGAAACATTTTATGTGGTCATTGATAAGCTAGTGGAATGCCTTTAACATCGCTTGGACGCTTACAAGCGTTTGACCAGTCTATTTGGAGTTCTGTTTATGTCAGATCAGGTGTCTAACAGTAATGTCATAGTGGAAAAGGTAAATGTGCTCTCCGCTGCATATCCATCAGACATGTACATGAACTTTGCCAACGAACTCATCCAATTAAAGTCTTTCATGTCTGACTCTGAGGGTGAGACGTGCCAAACTAAATTGCTTGAGACGCTGCAGGCACTTAATCTGCAGTCAGTGTTCCCCAATGTTTTCGTGGCACTTCGGATTTTTATAACTTTGCCAGTGACAGATTTCCAGGGTGAGCGGACATTTTCCCTTTTCGGCAGAATAAAAAATGAGCTGCGGAGTAGCATGTGCCAAACACGTCTCAGCGCATTGTCACTAATGTCAATAGAGTCAGACCTTATCAGACAGCTCGATTTGGACGATCTAGCGGATGATTTTGCGTGGAGGAAGGCAAGAAAGACACCAATATAGGAAAGCGGGGGGGGGGCTCCAAAAGACACGTGACCAGGGGCCTCACGGGACCATCATCCGGCCCTGCTTCCGAGAGCTAACACGATTGTTATATTCTCAGTGATTTTTTTACTAAAGTCTTCTGTTAATAGCGGTATAAAATGTGATGAATACTTCATTTGTGAAACAGCGCAAGAGTTAGGAAAGTTGATCACAATCCATGTGATTGTGATCAACTTCTATGGTATGTGTTGCAATTATATATATTTTTTTACAACTCTCACGATGAATTACGTAATCATCATAACCATCATCGTTTCTACGACTGGATGGAGGTTTCCTGGTGACGTCAGCATCCCTCGTGATCCCACAACGTTATTATTAATAATTTTATATTCGTGTTCTCGTTTTTGAGTCACGTCATAGCAGGGGGTGTGCATTGATTGAAAACTTTCCTCTTCGGGGACGTCGATCTCATGCTTTTCGCAACCAAATTCAGCGTTACAAAAAGTGCTCTCGCTGGCCCCTTCGATCGAATGTCCTTTTTTTATCCTTGCTATGTTCAGTCATGGGCTTTAGGTATAACATACTTTGCAGTGGCTGTTTTGTTACCACTTGTAGTACATGTGCATGTACAGGGCTTTTGTTTATACACTGCTGGATGAGGTCTCCAAGTTGTGACTTCCAACAGATGTTTTTTTTGTTCCGAGGGTAATTCAAAGAATGATAGCCAATGCTGGCTCTCATTTTTTAAATATAATTATCCAACAGGCACAGTAGGCACAGTGCCTAGGGCCTAAGAAAACTAAAGGACCTACGAAAAAATATTTTAGACCATGTTTTTTTGTTTGTATATAGCAAGGATAGGCACAGTGTATATACAAAGAGGCAGTCATGTCAATCTTTTTTTTTTCATAAGGTGAGAGAAACTAACACTGGAGATTAACTTTCGAGATTTTTATTGCAAAATTAGCAATAAGACCATCAAATGGTGTTGATCGGAGACAGTTTTTTTGTAGCTTTAGTTTAGAAAAAGAACCCTCCCTTTCACAATTCGTTCCCAAAATAGCAAAATACATCCTTAGAGCAATGTAAACATTCAGAAAGCTGCTAATCAAATAATAAGATATTTGGGCTTTGAGCATATTTGTCACTATTATTTTTATCTGCATATAAATGCAGGAACAACAGGAATTCATTGGTGAATTATTTTCCAAGAGCTGCTGTATATGCAGCAACCAAAGCATTGGCCAGTATAACAATTTATACTGTGGATAGTGATCTATCTACAAATAAACTGAATCGATCATTCAATCTGGCATATGCATTTTGCCGTTTTCCATCTCCAAATCTGCAGTGACTTCTGTCCAGAGTGCAGGATCGCTGGCAGGCCTACTAGTAAAGTCAGCATCTGATGTTAGCTTTGGAGTCTGTGATTATTTCACCAAATGATCTGCTTCCAAATGGGTATAAACCTGTTTCTTCACTTGATCTACCCTCTACTTGCGAATGAGATTCTGCTTCAAGACCAATATGTTCACAAGTTTCACTATTATCATGATCCAATTGCATAATTAATGGTGATGATTCCATTGGCGGATTTGCTCTACCACTCTCCACGTTCTTGTTCATGAACTTCAGAATAGGTCTCTTGATTTGTTTCAATGCTTAATCCTTTTTTTTATTGGTTCTTCCTCTTTTTGTGTCCCGACTTATGCTTTCTTGTATATCCATCTGACGTATTGGAAGGCTGGGGAGAGTGGTATCCCCTAAAAAAACACAACAAAAATAAAAAAAATATCAAAATAATTGCAACATTTCAGTGTAAGAAATTAAACATCATTCAATTATTTGAAAGAAGAAATATACAAAGCGAGACGCTAATAACATTCTCTGAACAGCTAGACCAAACAGCAACATAAGGCAGAGACTACCAAGAAAGGAAACATGCAATGACACTAGAATTCTATTAAGTATAGACCTAAGGGCTAAGGCACGTAAATGTTTTTTTCTAATTTAGCCTAAAAGAGCAGCCGAGTAGCCCTTGTCCCTGTCACTTCTGAAATGATAATAAATAAGGTAAACTGGCGGAATGCCAACTTATTTTTCAATGCAGTAATTTTCACTAAATTGTGTATTTTATAAAAACACTAGCGGTTAGTACCCGGCGTTGCCCGGGTGAAAAAAGGCAGACACACATGGACTTACACACAGACATGGACACACACGACTCTAAAGTAGTACATGCTGACTCTATAGCAGTATTTATGGACTCTACAGTAGTACATGCTATAGCAGTAGATATCGACTCTACAGTAGTACATGCTGAGTCTATAGCAGTATATGTAGTGACTCTATAGAAGTACATGCTGACTCTATAGCAGTATTTATGGACTATACTGTAGTACATGCTGACTGTATAGCAGTATATGTAGTGACTCTATAGAAGTACATGGTGACTCTACAGTAGTACATGCTGACTCTATAGCAGTATTTATGGACTATACTGTAGTACATGCTGACTCTACAGAAGTATATATCGACTCTACAGTAGTACATGGTGACTCTACAGTAGTACATGCTGACTCTATAGAAGTACATGCTGATTCTATAGCAGTATTTATGGACTATACTGTAGAACATGCTGACTGTATAGCAGTATCTATGGACTCTACAATAGTACATGCTGAGTCTATAGTAGTATTTATGGACTATACTGTAGTACATGCTGACTGTATAGCAGTATATGTAGTGACTCTACAGTAGTACATGCTGACTCTATAGCACTATATATCGACTCTACAGTAGTACATGCTGACTGTATAGCAGTATTTATGGACTATACTGTAGTACATGCTATAGCAGTATTTATGGACTCTACAGTAGTACATGCTGACTGTATAGCAGTATATGTAGTGACTCTACAGTAGTACATGCTGACTCTATAACAGTATATGTAGTGACTCTATAGTAGTACATGCTGACTGTATAGCAGTATATGTAGTGACTCTATAGTAGTACATGCTGACTGTATAGCAGTATATGTAGTGACTCTATAGTAGTACATGCTGACTCTAGAGCACAAAGTAGTCACGTGACAGAGTGCCGTGGTGTGGCCGTGAGCTCGACCGAACGCGCATCACGTGGTAGGGTCCGCCCCCCCCCGCCCCGCAATTGTCGTCAGTTGGTACGGTCGAGCTCGCGCAGGAAGTAAATAATACAAAAAAGAATGGCACTAAATCGCTAATTAAACTAATTTTAATTTGACGGATGGGAAAACGGAATAGCCTATTCCCACCGCGGGGCTTGGGGCATGCCACCCGGCATATTTTTTTAGTACAAAAACCCCACCGTCCGAGAGCGCTTGCGGAGACTTTTATTTTTAAGACTAATTACAAAAAGAATAATTATTTTTGCCACTTAATTTGTTTGGCTGCTCGTAGCAATTTCTTTGCAGTGGTAACAAGTCGTTGACTTGTTGTAAGTGAGGTATATTATAACAGTCAAACAAATCTTTAAGCCATTCGTCCTGTAAGAACATTGAATTTGTTTTCGATTAAAATGAACGGGGCATCCTTTTAACGCTGCATCATCCGATATGATAACCATAGTAAAAAAAAATTGTTGAAGACATGTTCACTTACAATATTTTAGGCTTACCTTGTTTTTTTCAGTAATTTCAAATTAAATCTGCTTATCCGTGGCACACAGCGTGCCTCCATTCAATTAGGGCACAGACTAAATAATTAACGTATCAGCAGTAACAACATCTGTCCAGCGGGCTGGACGAAGCACACCTGAAATAAGTGGAGTGACAGCGGCGGTAGTAACACGTGGCGGCAGCAGTAACAAATGCAGAAAGTTATCACTGAAGGCTTAGGAAACAGAAGTGCCTAGGGCCGACAAGCACCTTAATCCGGCCCTGTAATTAGCGGTGCACTCTTGCACACTTACGAAAGTTACATTTTACAAGGGTACCTTTAAAGCATAGCATTTGCTACAAATTTTACGTACACTATGTGCGTGAAAATAATAATCGTGAAGCGGATAATAGTTACCGTAAATTTAAATGTATACTGACATTTATACAATACTCTTAAGAATTTCCTTTGACAATTTTGTGCTTGTACTTTTTCTGCTTGTACTCGGGGATGAGGCCACGTGTGGTGGGGTAAAGTGCTCTCACACCTCCCCCAAGATGTCTGGTCAGCGTAGAAGAGTTGGCCAAAATACCCTCTAAGAGGGTTTGTTAGAGCTTCCTCTAATGGAGGCCCTTCTGCCAGCAGTGGCATGAGCAGAACATTTAAAGAAATATTATTCATAATAAAGGTTTTTTGGGTTAGATCGCGTTATTTATAAATGTGTCGTAACCCTCCACCACCCAACACGGCCAATCAGCAAAAAAGTGTCACGTTGACAAAAGACAAATAGTTCACTACTTTAGCCCACCTACGTGTTAAACTTAAGAAATATTATTCGTGTTTAGGGTATTTCCATTCCAATCACTCACATCTCCATTCACAACTACAGTTGGAAAATTCTGACCCTTATGATTTAATCAGGCTCATGTAACTCACACGAATTCCGTTCAGTGGTCTACGGCTAAACTTTGCGTTAATCGCTGGTATCGTGAAGCACAGGTTGTTGAGCTCACGCAGTGGAAGGCAGAAATGTAAAACCGAAGTTACTTCTACAATATTTCTTAGAAAAAAAAAACTATCTGGAAATATCTTGGTAAGAAAAATCCTGCTCATATGACCAATGAAGTACTGCTCATTCCATTCAAAGCCCTGTGCTTGTGGTGAAATTCCACATTCATTTTGACCGGGGGAAGGGGGGGGCGAGTCAATCCATATAATAGGACAACCGTTGCTAACTTCCCTACACCCCCCTCACCGCTCAACTATGCGACTGACAAATGTGCAAACACTGGCCAGTTTTATGCCAAATTCGTCTACGTACCAACATTGAAAGAAGTCAACAGATTACAAGTCAAGGATTGGTGCCGTGGATTAATGTGCTCTTGCCTAACAAGTTGGCATCGGTGGCTAACATGTGTGGGCAGTGTAGTAAAACACATTTATGGACAGTACTGACTAGCGTGAAGTATGGTCAAAAACCCCCCATTAACGACACGGCGTGGGGAGGCATATGTATATTTGTGGACTGAGAATGGCTGGAATGCAAGGCCGTAGCCATGGAGTCAACATTGGGGGGGACCAAATCTTCCAGGGGGTCTGGGGGTCCCCCCCCCCAGAAAAAAAATGTAAATTTGAAGACTCATTTCCTGCCATTTCCTGCCTAAAATATTAAAAATTTCACTAACACATAGGATGGACTTTTTATTTTATGTTTTACAATGTCTAATAGTGTATTGTATTATATTGCTCTTTTTCTTTTTCACCTTTTCTTGTTTCATTGTGTGAAATGGCAGAGATTAGGGATTAATAAAGTACAACCATAACCACAATCATATAAACAGAAATCTATTTTATAGCAATATGTTGGGGGGGGGGACATTTTGAGCATACTGTATTTGAATATTGGGGGGGGGGGGTGTCCCCAATATATAATTACGGCCTTGCTGGAATGTATTATTACGTAACAAGATTCCTGCTTATTGTTTTGGCAGCAACTTTCATTTAAAAATAGGAAAAAAACTCACCAACCCACATCTCACGTAAGACCATGACTCACTTACATACCTATTGTTCATCAACTGAATTCGCAACAATTGTCAAGTCTTTTGTTTAACCAGGTGAGCGCTCAAGAGACCACATACGTCTTAATTTGAAAGTACTGTAATACGATTTGTTCGAGTTCTGGGGCGTTCGATCTCCGAGGTTCTATCGCATTAACATAAGCTGCCCCGCCCATGCTGCTGACGACACTTGGACCACGCCCATCTCTAAACCTTTATAAACAGCTTGCCTTTAGAGGCTAACCCCCCCCCCCCCTTTTTCCTCAAGACGGCCGCTTGTGTTGCGATCGAAACGTCGTTGTTTGTTTGTTTATTTATATTACTGAAAGAACCAGAATAAGTCTACATTATAGACTGCCAGTACGCTCACTCAGGTTCGGTTTAATAACCATTGCTAGAGTCTACATTATAGACTGCCAATACGCTCACCAGCTTAAAAACCAGGCTACAGTCTACCAAGGCTATAGTTTACATTATAGACTGCCAGTACGCTGACTTTTAAGATTTTTATTTTCTATCTACGTGACTTTACCGAAAGAACCAAAGAATATGACCACGGAGATGTATAATGTATGGCCAAATTATAAACAAAAAATTAGTCAACACACTCATCATATTAAACAGTAAATATTTCTTGTGGAATGAAAAAGGCCCATTGCCGGAAACGTCGCCTGTTATATACTTCTCCTTTTCAGGCCACAGAGTTACTGACAAATGTGTTAAGTCAAAAAAAAAAGTCTTACACTAATGGTTCAATAAATCCTCCGTATAAACCCCCCCCCCCCCACATTCGCGTGCTTGCGGCTAAGGGTCGTACAGTTAGGTACTGTAGAACTAAAATTAATAAATAAGGTAACTAAAAAAATGCATTAAATGTTAAGACGCGTCTGCTGCTGCGAGGATGTGGCTTTGAGGTTGGCTGTGTGGAGCAGGAGGGAGGAGGGAGGAGTGGGTGGAGGCGTGCGGTTTGGGGGGTCTCTGCGTCACTGTGCGCCTGTTGCATTCGCCTGGGGGTGGAAAGAGGCAGCCGTGGAGTGGGGTAGGAGTGGGGAGGTCAGGCTTGGTCGAGCTCATGGTAGGAGTGGGGTAGGGGTGGGGAGGTCAGGCTTGGTCGAGCTCATGGTAGGAGTGGGGTAGGAGTGGGGAGGTCAGGCTTGGTCGAGCTCATGGTAGGAGTGGGGTAGGAGTGGGGAGGTCAGGCTTGGTCGAGCTCATGGTAGGAGTGGGGTAGGAGTGGGGAGGTCAGGCTTGGTCGAGCTCATGGTAGGAGTGGGGTAGGGGTGGGGAGGTCAGGCTTGGTCGAGCTCATGGTAGGAGTGGGGTAGGAGTGGGGAGGTCAGGCTTGGTCGAGCTCATGGTAGGAGTGGGGTAGGAGTGCGGAGGTCAGGCTTGGTCGAGTTCATGGTAGGAGTGGGGTAGGGGTGGGGAGGTCAGGCTTGGTCGAGCTCATGGTAGGAGTGGGGTAGGGGTGGGGAGGTCAGGCTTGGTCGAGCTCATGGTAGGAGTGGGGTAGGAGTGGGGAGGTCATGCTTGGTCGAGCTCATGGTAGGAGTGGGGTAGGAGTGCGGAGGTCAGGCTTGGTCGAGTTCATGGTAGGAGTGGGGAGGTCAGGCTTGGTCGAGCTCATGGTAGGATTGGGGTAGGGGTGGGGAGGTCAGGCTTGGTCGAGTTCATGGTAGGAGTGGGGTAGGAGTGGGGAGGTCAGGCTTGGTCGAGCTCATGGTAGGAGTGGGGTAGGAGTGGGGAGGTCAGGCTTGGTCGAGCTCATGGTAGGAGTGGGGTAGGAGTGGGGAGGTCAGGCTTGGTCGAGCTCATGGTAGGAGTGGGGTAGGAGTGGGGAGGTCAGGCTTGGTCGAGCTCATGGTAGGAGTGGGGTAGGGGTGGGGAGGTCAGGCTTGGTCGAGCTCATGGAGGAGGATTTGGAGAGCGGATGGAAGAGTTGGAGTGGGGGGATGGAGGAGTAGTTTACTAGTCGACGGACCGGACCGGACACACGAAGTTTTAGTGCGCGGAGTAGGTCTGGGCTTTCAGCGTCAATCTCACCCGGTAAGCGATGCCTACTAGGGGGGTATGTATGTATGCATGCTGAAGGGGGGTTTTCTCGCACCGTACTGAGCGCTGGGAGAGGTGAGTGCTTGGGGGGGGGGGGGGAGAGTCGTCGGGGGGGGGGGGGGAGTCGTGGGGGGGGGGGGAGAGTCGTGGGGGGGGGGGAGAGTCGTGGGGGGGGGAGAGTCGTGGGGGGGGGAGAGTCGTGGGGGGGGGGGGAGAGTCGTGGGGGGGGGGGGAGAGTCCGTGGGGGGGGGGGAGAGTCGTGGGGGGGGGGGGAGTCGTGGGGGGAGGGAGAGTCGTGGAGGGGGGAGTCGTGGGGGGGGGGGGGAGAGTCGTGGGGGGGGGGAGTCGTGGGGGGGGAGAGTCGTGGGGGGGGAGAGTCGTGGGGGGGAGGGAGAGTCGTGGGGGGGGGGAGAGTCGTGGGGGGGGGGGGAGATGAGTGCCGGGGAGTCGTAGCGCACGCAGCGCGTGTGGGAGTTCTGCTTAAAGCACAAAGTGGGGCACACACTCGCACACACTCACACACACACACGCCCTATCCACAGCAGAACCAGATTGTCGGGAGATTACTCACAGGTACCACACCACGTCGACACGTGGATCCGGTCTTCGGGAATTCCCTGCCACGGCACTAAACGCCGGTAGGCTCGCGGGGATCGGGGTTGGAACGGGACGTCTCCCCGCTGGGCCCCGTGTGTGTGCTGCGTCCGAGCCACTACGGCACTGCCAACTGTGCCGCGTGTCTCTCGTCTCCCCCCCCCACCACCACCCCACCACAAAGAACTCCGCTCGCGTCTGGTAGCCGCCGCCTCCTCCTCGCTCGCCCCTGCCCGCCCTGCCCGCCCCTTGCCGCCCAGCGGGGCTCCGAGAGATAAACAGAGCTGGGCGCAGCTTCTTCCACCTCGCCGAAGAGCGGTCCCGGCTCTCCCCCCACCGACCCCGCGTGTTTTGCCCAACCCGAAGGAAGCAGGCGCGGCGTCTGGGAGACCTCGGATCTCGCCTCCCATCGCCGCCACCGCCAACCACCGACCGCTCGGTAAGGGACGCGCTCACAGAGTGAAGGTGCGCGCGTGTGATGGTGGTGATGATGATGATGATGAATGGGGGTGGTGGTGATTAATGATGATGATGATGGTGGTGGTGATGATGGTGATGAATGGGGGTGGTGGTGATTAATGATGATGATGATAGTGGTGATGATGAATGGGGGTGGTGGTGATTAATGATGATGGTGGTGGTGGTTAATGATGATGGTGGTGATGAATGGTGGTGGTGGTGGTGATGCCCGCACGGGGTTTATTAGCATGGTTCGTGATGGCAGTGACGATCGCGGGGTGAATGATACTAAACAGGTTGGTGATGGTGGGGGGTTAGCGATGATGATAGTGGGGTTAGTTATGGTGGTGATAATAGCGGGGTTATGATTAGTGATGGTCGTGTTGATAACATCAATGGCACGTGAAACCCTAAGCGGTTGTTCCAAGATCGACTCAGCCTTAAATGAGTACGATGTGTAACCAGTGCAATTTCTAACATTTTCAATAGGGGGGGTTAAAATACATCGGTGTTCAACAACAGGCATGGTGAAGTATGGGCAAACAACGCAAATGACCGTCAAATTTTATTTATTTAATTATATGCAATAATGAATACAAATATATTGACACATTGAAATAAAAAAAAACAATTTAACACACAACAGGTGACATAGCATTCTCGTGCTATATTCACTTTTCAAAAGGCCTCATCATAACGCTTGCGTGTAACTGCATGGTGAACTTCTTTCGCACCGTACATGTCCAACCGTTCTAATCAGAGGTGATTGTTACCTTGAGAAGCCTTACCGAGTCTCAAGACACTTCCCCCCCCACCACCACCCCATTTTTCAGGGCGTACTGCTACTTTGAGATGTTTGACCAAATTCCAAACATGCTTTGCCGGTGGCTCTTTTGTGTGAGCTCCGAAACCAGATGGAGGTGGTGGGGCACACGCAAATCTTCCCCGGCTTTGTGATTCAAGAATCCACTGTTGTACGATATTTCCCATTTCCTTGTCACCTGCCCCCCCCCCCCTCTCAAGCGGCTCCATCACCTGGCGTGTATACTATTCCCACGCGATCTCATATTTAAGCACTAGCCAGGGGTCAACACTCGCAATTGTTCAATTGCTCCGATAGCGAGGGAACTATTTGCGTTTGATGATAACTTTTGTGTGCTCTTGGTTATTGGTTTTACCGTGAAATATATTTCAAGGTAATGACCCGAAAGGTACCGCTGTCCTGTGGACTAAAGCAAAAAAAAAACGAATTGTAGCAATGTCAATTTATCCCACTCCTCCGCCACGTTAAAACCTCACCCGTGTGTCGGCAAAAAGACATCGCGTTTTCTTTTTTCGTAGAGACAGAAGCGGCTGTGTCTGCTATGCGCGGTTCTGGCCAGTATCAAAGTGTGTCGGGGTCGGCCTCACAATAGTTGCTTGCTCTTCACAGCACTTGTTTTGAACACAACTCGGAGAAGGTGTTGTTGGGTCTTTGTTTCCTGTTGTTGGTGGTGGTGGTGGAGATGAGTGGCCGAGCACCTGGACCATCTTCTTGTCTGTGGTGTTGGGCATGCTATGGCGGCTGCTAAAGGTGCGTTTAGAATATTTGGCTGCTATACATTTCCACACGATAAGCCATTCGGTTGGAGCAATCTTTGGTGGCCAGGTTCGCTTCTGAAAAAAATAACGAATAGCTTAGTGGACTTTACCTGGTAATACTCTTTGGTTCTTTTGGTAAAGTCACGTAGAAATAAATGAAATAATAACGAACCAAAGACATTAATCCCTGCAGTCACGAAAGCTTCGAATCTAGTTTTTTTACCTGGTAAAAAAACCCACTTGGTTTAGTTTAAGGTTATGTTAAGCTATTTGCATGCCTTTCCTATACTTTGCACTACGTTTTCTTGTACTGTTGTAACTTTCCGACGTCCCTACTGGGCACCTGGAAAAAAAAGAGCTTCACAGCTCATCGGATTTCTCCAGGATAAAATAAAGATTCTCATTGTGATTCTGCGGCTAGTGTAGCACCTGGATCCAGTCTTCCCACGATACGCTGGTGCATTGAGCCGGTGGTTATCGCCGCGCGTGCAAATGTGGCTGGCATGAGACGCTCGGGATGGGAGATTCGCCCGACACTAATCCTGCTGCTGTAAGCTTCTGCTGCGAGGTGGTTGGTTGGCGAGGAGATGGGTGCCAGCACCACAGACGTGGATCATTGAATCCATCTGTGTGCATCTTTGAATGTTAGTCGTGTAGGCAATATGTGCACGCGAGGGTGCTTGTGGCATGATACCTTGTGTGGTGTTATGTTTAAGTACCATGCTTGGTTGCTGTTCAACGAAACTGCAAGTGCTGAATTTGTACAACTCCGTTTCAATAATGAAAACTTACATTTCAAACGGATTATTCTGGGGTGAGACTGAGGGTGTGCGTTTTATGTCGAACCAGAATATTAAAAAAACGCTTCTATAGTTGAAAACCAGACGTACATAGATAACAGTATAGGCACATTATTTGGTGATTCTACGTTGGCAGTGTTGCATAAGCATACATATCTCCTGCGCCTTCTCTGGTTTCTCTATGGTGTGAAGGACCATTGCCTGGAACGTTTCCCAATAGATCATTTTTTTTCTCTTCAAGGTGTTGTTATTGACCAATTCATTGTGTTATACATATATACAGTACTATATATATACAAATAAAACGTGGCAACAAATATCATGCCATAGGGTGTTAGTGTATTTGATACCTTCGTAAGCAACCTGGCTTTGTGAGTACGTATTGCAGTTATGAGTTCACGTTTGTTGTTTAACCAGGTGAGAACTCCAGAGACCAGGATATGTCTCATTTGCCAGTGACCTAGGGCATTCGTCTGCCAGTAGGGGGTAATGATTGCTATCTAATCCCAATTGAGTACTGTGATTTGCGGTGTAATTTTCTAATTTAGTAAAGGTGGACCTTGGTGAGTAGGGGCATGGGCGTGCGAGTCAATATGCAGTGCAGGAAATGTGCAAGTCAATAAAGACAACTCATTGCTGCCTGCCTTATAATATAAAATATAAAGTGCCCCGACGTTTTTGCCATTGACCTTTCAGACACCACTTCGAACATAGACCCTAATATTTATACGACAGCACGGGGTATGTGTCGTGACTGACTCAGAGACACTAAGAGTAGGAGGCCTTAACAGTTCACACTTGGGAACTACGGCTCCCAGTCAGGACAGCTGGCAGGCTGCCTAACTGGCGACGCCGAGATGGCGAAGACGGAGACGGCGACGAAGACTCCAGCAGCAGCACGACGGGGATCCCACTCCAAACGACAGCCCCGAGGCCCCCTTCCGGGGGGCCCCTCTTATACTGTCAGCGTGGCCTGGCTCCGCCCCGGCCACGCCCCCCTTCTGGAACCTACCAGCCGGTTCTCGATGTGCCCCTTCCGTAACCTTTCCCCTAGATCCCTCTCTGGTCTATCACGTAGCCTGCTGTCGGTCAGGGCTGCTGTAGCTGTAGATCCCCTTCCCTGCCAGCAGCAAGCGCTATGCTGCTAAGTGACCGATTCTATGTGACTACATGTGTTACGACTTTTAAGCCATAGGTTCACTATTGTTGAGGGCAGCACAACACAATACCCTATGAAAATCATAGGCCCCCATGTGTTGTAGTTGCCGTGTACCTACGGTGTGTATGTAGGTGTGTGTTGTACATACCGTAGACACTCACGCAGTGTTGTACATACCGTACAGCACTCAGTGTGTGGTTGCGCAGCGGTATAAACCCAGCGACCTGCTTTTAATTCCAGCTCGTGACCAGTGACGATTATCTGAACTTCTCCTGACCCCCCCTCCCCCACCTAGGTTGACTCGGCCTCAAATGAATACCTGGTGCGTTGTGTTAACATCGCCACTAGGGAGACAAATTTCGGCCTGGCGTGGTTCAGGCTATCCACCGTGTGCCGTCCGTAGCCAACCGCGCTCACTGGCAAGCACCTCCCTGCTAAGACGATATACTGGGCGATCTTCGTCTTTTTTGTGATGGTCACTTTCACACACACACACACGCTGAGATTGTCAGACTCGATTCTGCGCCTCCCCCTACGTCAACTCGGTCTTCGTGATTTACATCGTTTGGTGTACAGTATAAACATCAGCGCTGACAAGACAACGGCGGTCGGGTGTGTGGGTTAGCTGGCTGTCATGGGTTGGCATTCACTCATAGCACTTGGCCAAACAGCCTGTAATGAAGGCTATGTGGGTGTGGAGGGGGGGGTGTTTGTGTGTGAAAACGGTTATTGGTTTTTATCATAATAACCACGCAATGTTAATATATTATTCAAGAGGAAACGCTGTTGAAATAAAGACTCAGGCGTGTATTGAACAAAAATGTGAGAGCAAATGTTAGGTGGTCAAATGTCATGTAGCGTGTTCTTTTAAAGAGTAAGCATGGTTATGGATTTTTTTGGAGTATTGGTTTAAGCTTGCTTTTCAAAACAGAAGCCTGGTTGTCCTTAGTTGTGTAACCTCCGGAAAAAGGGATTATACTGTAGTTTTTTTATGGAAGAAACTACAGTGCAGTAATTACGTAACATATCTTCAAACATTTGAGGAAATACCACGTATTTTTTTGTAATCCCATTGGCTCTCATTGAGGAGGTAGAGACAAGACGGCTTTTGATGTTATTAAACAGGCCATGCCACTTAAGAGTGCTGTTGAACCAATGTCTA